AAGCTATTCTACTACTGTCCTGATCCTGGTCATCTTGGTCATATACATTATCTGAATTTTGCTATTTGATTATGCTAAGGCCCTGTAGTGATACTGTACATCTTCTAAAAACTTATCTAGAAAGACTAAGATTTGGGAAGGGCTATATCCAAAACTATAGCAAAAGATTTAAAGAAAATGAAACATCTCACACCTGTAATTTTATCACTTGGAATAATGAAACAGGAAGTGTGAAGTCAGCTTGAGTTACACAGATACACAGTAAGCTCTGTGCAAGCTGGGACTGTGGAGTAAGTCCCTTCCTAATAATGCCTTAACAAAACTAAACACTACAATATACCTCTCTGAATTAGTATTTTGAAAATGGCTGTTTTACTGAAATTAATATGTAGGTATCTACAGAGCCAATGTAGATTCCTACCAAAATTCCAATGACATTCTTTACAAAAACTGAAAAGTAAAACAAAATTCATCTAAAGCACAAAATACTCCAAATAATCAAAGCAATCTTCCAGCTGAAACGGCAACTGCTAAAGGTATCAGGATATCTAACTTCCAATTATACCTCAGACAACAAAAACAATGTGGTACTGGAAGAAAATAAGACAAGCAGATCAAGAGAAGAGAATAAAGGGCCCCCAAATAAACTCCTGCAGCTACAGTCACATGACTTTTGAAGACAGTGTCAGAACTTCTATGGGAGAAAAGGTAGCCTTGTCAATAAATAATGCTGGCAAGCCTGAATATTCAAATGTAGACTAGTGAAACTAGATTCTTAATTGCTCACACCATCCAAAATACGATTAAAAAATTAATCAAGACACAAAGAACTACAGGTAACTAAGAAATGCTCTGAGTGGGAGAAACTATTCTCCAGGGAACAGTACACCAATTGATTATCCCATACCAAATGGTCAGCCCTGAAGACATACATATAAGTAACATCAAACAGACTGAGAAGATTGTATTTAGGAATATATATGAATATACATATACATAAATACATATAACAACAATTAACAAAACAGAACAAGGATGGATATATGGGAAGGTTTGAGAGGAGAAAAGGGAGGGGGAAATGATGTACTTATACTATAATCTCAAAAAATCAAGCAAATAGAAACTTAAAGTTTCTACACAGTAAATAATCATCAGAATGATGGGCCAGGCTACAGAGTGGGAGAAAATCTTTGCCAACTATAAATCAGAGGGGAACATAAAATTTGTAATATAAAAAACTCAGAAACAACACCTTTGCTCTAAACCAATCAATAAATGGCCAATCTGAGTGGAGCACCCATTTCTCAAAAGTAGTACGAAAAGCCAATAAATCAATGAAAAGAAACTTAAACATCCTTAACTAGGAGGGAAACACACAACAGAACTAAATTGGAGTTCCACCTCACACCAGTCAGAATGACAATGAAAAGGAAACAACAAGTGCTGGAAAGGACAAGGGCAAAGAGACTTAAACCCTGCTGGTGGGAATGGACAAGGAGCACAGGCCACTTTGGAAATCAGTATCCAGGCTGCAAACACCTAAAAGCAGACCTAGCATATGACTTGCTTCACACCTGGGAATATACCTAAAGCCACCCAAGTCGGCACTGCGCAGAGATGGCTGCACATCTGTCCCAGCTAATTAAGGTTTCTATTGCTGTGGTGAAACACATGATCAAAACAACTCGGGGAGGGAGGAAAGGGTTTATTTGGCTTATGCTTCCAAATTACTGTTCTTCACTGAAGAAAAGTCAGGACAGGAACTCAAACAGGGCAGGAACCTGGAGCAGGAGCTGGTGCAGAGACTATGGAGGGGTGCTGCTTACTGGCTTGCTCCCTCTGGCTTACTCAGCCCACTTACTTACAGAACCCAGTACCACCAGCCTGGGGATAGCACTACCAGTAATGGGCTAAGCCTTCCCTCATCAATCATTAATTAAGAAACTGCCCTATAAGCTTGCCTACAGTCCAATCTTACGAAGGCAGTTTTTTAGTTTTTTTTGTTGTTGTTTTGTTTTTTTCCGAGACAAGGTTTCTCTGTGTAGTTTTGGTGACTATCCTGGATCTCACTCTGTAGACCACGCTGGCCTAGAACTCACAGAGATCTGCCTGCCTCTACCTCCTGCGTACTGGGATTAAAGGCCATCACGGGCCGGCTCTGGAGGCAGTTTCTTAATTGAGGTTCCCTTTTCTCAGATGACTTTAGCTTGTGTAAAGTTGACATAAACTATCCTTATCCAGCACAACATCCATGTTTACTGCAACACAACTCAGAGTAATCAAGATATAGACCCACCTAGCAATCTATCAACATGTATGGATAATAAAAACCATGTCTATATACACAAGGGAGTTTCACTCAACTGTAAAAAAGAAATGCCATTTGTAAGACAATGGACAGAACTGGGGATCATGGTGTGAAGTGAAAGAATCCACACTCAGAAAGACAAATGACAATGTGGCATGCAAATTTAAATACAATGGCGGGACAGGAAACAAAATAGGGCAGTAAAGATTAACATGACCAAGTATTCAACATGATTATGGGAACACACCATAATGAAACTTACTATTTTATATGCTAATTAAAACAAATGCAGCTCATTTCAATAAGCTTATATATGCATTTCAAAAAATAAAGAATGCTGAAGATAGAATAAAAATGCCATATAAAATAACCCAAGATGTTAAATCTGAAAAGCCAAAGGCTAGTTAATGAGATGGTCTAAGGAAAAGAAACATTTTTCACAAATAAGGAAGGGGAAGGGAAAAGGAGAGAGTGAATGAGAACAATTCACACAAAATGAGTTAAGGACATAAAGAGATTATAAGGAATCAGCCTTATGTGCAGAAGCTCTCAGACTTTAGTAGAAGCACAAGTAGTAGTTATAGTAGTCTGAGTCCAGGAGGTGAAGTCTACATGAATGAACATCTATCAATGTAAACAGGAAAAAGGATGGAGCATTGAGTTGGAACTTTACATTAGGGCTCAGTGCATCAGGATAGCTACACAGTGAAAAGCCCACTTACCCCTGTCTTTAAATATACCTCTGTTCATCCGTTGACATCATGAGATACTGCTTACCAAGACAACTAAACACAGAATCTCAACTTTCCAAATTTAAATATCTAACTGCCAAAATCTCAGTGATCACAAATGTCAAAAAGTGAATTCCACCAACTCCCAATGTAAGTCCCAATGCCACTCTAAGATTAGGAGCCATTCGTAAATATTTATATTGTCACATAATAAAATTATAGATATAACAATTCTGAGGAGCTGCCCAGTTGAACAACTAGCCTAAGAAACTGTATTGTAAAAAGAGGAAGTGCTAAGAAAACTTCAAGAAGTGGTGTAGTAAACTTGAAACTATTACAGCCTTCCAGTATAGCACCATATCAATGACTCCTCCTACAGCCTCTCTTCTCTACCTAGATAGCTTACTACAAGTAGAGCACTGTATCACCATTCATATAAATCATGACTTAGCTCCAGAGGCTGTACACAATACACATATTTAAACATTTCATAGAAAAACTGATTTATTCAGAATAAAACATGGTAAAGGCTTCAACGTGAGACTTATAACTTCAAAAATAGAAATGATAGAGGTAAACAAAAAGGGAAGGTAAACGGTGACTTGACAGTTTGTTACACAAGAAAATCTTAATGAAAGCTGTCACCAGGCTAAGTCATTTAGTTTGATGTAGAAGAACTCAGAGAAAATATATCAAACACCCAAAATCCTACTTCAAGAAACAGAATTAACATTGAAGGCACTCAACATCAGGGAACCAAAGGTGTCCCTAAGAGTTGGCATTGAAAAAAATGGAAACTTTAACAGGATAAACAAAAACCACAGTATTCCTACTGGGGGAGGTGGGAGTGAGAGTGGATTTGAATGAGGTTATCTTTTAGGGTTTCATCATCATGTTCTGTACTCCTTGACAAAATTTATTCCTACCTTTCATACAAACCTGTGAGATGTTCAGCACTGACTCACACCCTACAAATGTTCAGACCTCTGCTGGCTTGTGTAAACACAGCAGCAGTAAGGGAAAGCAAGTCCTCTTACTAGCTTTTGACCAAGAAGCCTTCACCACATAGCCAAACACCTATTTGAACTAAATAAAGATGCTTTTCTAACAGAAAGGATCCTGTTTATCTTCTAAAGGATCTTTTAAAAGTCACACTTTAAAAAGTGCACATCCACCCACACAGAGAATGGCATCTAAGGAACATACTGAGAGAACAGAACCCATTATTATTTTCATTCTAAACAGTGAAAGTGGTGGCTAGGACAGTACTTCTGTAAAGTTATGGCAGGTGACATGATTCTCTCCAGTATAAAATAGCTAAGACATTTACCATGGCATAGATGAAAATGCTAAAAAATTCTCAAGAAGCCTAAACTAGACAGAAACAAATCAGTTTTAAATATTTAATTTTCTAGTGAAATACAAGGAAAGTTTCTGGCAGCAGTGAGGGGGTAGGGAGGATGCTGGAGAGTTACAAAATACTTTCATTAATAGGGTAGCTCCCTGGGTGGTCTTGGACCTAGTCATCTTCCCCATTTCTCATTGTAATTCTCAATAAAAGGGTATGACACTCTCAGTTAAGAAGAGGCTGGCTAGTCCATTCTAACTCGAGTTCATCTGTACTCAAAAACTTCACTGTAATGGTTCCAGCTGCCTGAGAATGAAACCTGGGACCAGATTTTTCGAGTACCATTAGAAGAAGTACAAATGGGTCATGCATAGTCAAACTTCCATTCAAAATTTTCCTCAACATTGGGTCTGGTTCATCAAAAATACTACGCTTCTCTTGTCCTCTAAGAGGAAGTAGTAAATATGTAGCACGTAACTAAAATGGTGAGCCTGTTCCATAGCCTCCAACATCTCCTTCATGAAAAACTCAAATGAGATACGACAAAACAAACTTAGTAACACAAAAAGACATAACCCAATGACTACAATACCCACACCACCTTATTTCTTACCTTGTCTATTCTGTCTGGGCGATTAGTAGCTGCCAAAACTGTTACATCTTTTAGCTGTTCAATCCCATCCATCTCCGTTAACAGCTGAGCCAAAACACGGTCTGCAACATTCCCAGCACCTGAAGAACTGATATTTTGAAAACAGTTTAAAAATATTCTTTCCTATCCTAAATATTATTTACTATTTTAAAAGTTCTTTATTGCAAATGTGTGTTTGACAACTTATTAGTAATTGAATTATCATATCAAAAACTATATTCAAATAATTTCCTTTCCTATTATCATCAAACATGCTGGCTCTTCTAACACTAAAATGGTAAATGACACTAGGATTGGGAAGTGAGACATAAGATTACTTCAACCAGTTCCTCAAACACACAAAAAATTAAAGACAGTCACAACTTACATCTGCCATATTGACAGCGACAGGCAGTGAAAGAAAAATACCTTATGATACAGACTCATTGCTCAGAGTAAGGTTGAATTACTTGAAAAATTCTGCATATCTCCAAACAAACGGGCTATCTCTAATCTCTCTAGGTGCATGGAAATTACCAAGTATTTAAAAAACACAGCAGCAGGTGGGCAGTCATCACAGCCCTCATTTCTGAACAAACTGGGTCATGAAGTCTTTCACAGAGCTAGTTCCACACAGATACAAAATCCTTAAATCAAGTAAGAAAACTCTGAGAGAACACTTTATCAAGATCATAAGATAACAATTCTTATTCATCATCATGTTGATTTCTTTAGATCTACTCAGAACTATGAATTATCTAATCTATGGAATGAAACAGCATTGTGTGTATATTAACATACAGATACCCAGTACAGGAAAGGACACAGGGGTTTTCTGTCCTAAGATGAATGTTATCTTTACATTGGCATCTGTGACAGGACACCTAGCATAACCACCATGTACAGTGGTGACGGGACTCAGATGTCACCATCCACAGAATAGAATCCTCTGACCCACAGCTTACAAGGGGACACGAGATATTATTTGTAAGTGTAGATGCTAGGTGCAAAGTTGATTTCAAGTGGTCCTTTGCAGTATTTAAACTCTTCAAGATCAGAGAGTAAGTGGAAAGCCTAAGTTCTAATCCTTTCAGGTCAGCTGACCATTAGGTATACAGGTTTGCTACCTAACTCTGCCTAGAAATAAACTTTGAACATTTTAAATAGTCTATATCCTTCACAACAATTTTCCACAATACAATATTTCTAAGAGTCTTTAGCAATCAAATAGCAACATTAGCAAAGATCCTAAGAGTTCATAATTACTAGATAAATAGTCAAAGCAGAAAAAACAACTATTAAAGTATAAGTCAATAAAATTAAAAATAAAAAAAATCCACGAGATCCAAATTTACTTAAAAAAATCAATAATACCCATACACATAAATTAATAACAAAACAAAACCTATTTAGTATTCTGTTACAGCACACCAACTGATTAATTTATCTTAAAAATTAAATACCAACATGGAAGGGCTCCAACAGAGTATGCAGTACACAGGAAGTACCAGTAGGTAGTAGTTACAAGCACCATCATAATAATCATTCTCACAATTTTATAAAGAGACATGTCATCTTTTAAAGTTACCTTAAAGAACTGAAATGCAGTGGGCCCACAAGTATTTACTTTATGTTAGAGTGTTTGTCTTACATGCCCAAGGCCTTGGGTTGATCTTCAAAATGCACACAATCATACACATGCACACACCTCAGAGAAGAGGCAAAGGAGGATGAGAGTGGAGAAGGAAAGGAAGTAGGGGGCAGTAGCAGTTTGGGTGAACATAATGTAAGATTTTTAGAACACTGGAAATAACACACTTTGGGGTAAATACATTCAAATCAATATTGCTAGCTCCCACTGTGGTGCATGCCTTTAATTTCAGCACTCTGGAGGCAGAGGCAGGCAGATCTCTGTGAGTTCCAGACCAGCCTGATCTACAAAGCGAATTCCAGGACATCCAAAGATACACGAGAAACCCCGTCTCAAAAAAAAAAAAAAAAAAAACAACAACAACAAAAATTACCAGTTCCCTACAGATCCTTCATTACAAAATAGTATATGGAAACCATCAATCCAATACTACGAGCATCTCCTATGACATGCTTTGTAACAGCCAGGCATGATGAAAATGATCAGTCTGTATTCAATTTACTACTAAAAGGCCTTTGCTCCTAGGTGTTTCAGCAGACTGCTGTCATATACTTGTAGAGTTCCTTACATTTAATTTCAACAGTTGATTGCATGCTCAAATGCCTTGTGAGTCCTCAAGGAATGATTTATTTTGAACCCCCCCAACAAAAAATTCATAAACAGAAATGTTGGTGATAAAATTTCATAACACAGTATGTTTAAATACAACAGAAAATCTATTTACCAATGTCAGGAAAACCTATGAGCAGAAGCTGGACTCAGGAGCTCCTAAGTACCACACTGAATCAAACCCTCTAGCCCCTCATTCTTATTACTCAATATTTTGATTATTCAACTGTGTGACTATGTGCACTGTGCTTGGTACCTACAAGAGGATAAAATACTATGGTTCTCTTGAGGATTTGACAATTATAATCTAGGAAGTTAGTTTAAACAAACTATGCAAATGTTCTTTCAGATTCAAAATTTTGTGGCTCTGTGCTGTTATATAGTACCTATGGGAAATTACTCAGTATTTTTAATTAAAGCACACACACACACACACACACACACACACACACACACACACATATAAACACATTATTGGTATCTCTTGTCACTTCTACATAGGAAGGGCTAAACATCTAATCACTATTTCTTATAGGAAAGAATGGTAGTTCAACACTAAGATTAAGAGGGGAATTCTTCCATTCTGATTACCCCTATCATTTTTGCCTTTTATATACACATAACCACTGAGACCTAGTTTGAGAGCAATTTGGTGAAAACATTTCATAGGCCAAGAAAACAATTTGACTGACTTTCAAAACATCAGTAGGAAACAAAAACCATAAAACTGAGATCCTAGGAAATCAAAGCCAATATTAAGAAAAAGTTTAAATACAAATATTCACTAAAATAATGAAATGTCATAAAACTTGACTATCTGCTAGAGAAAGGCAACAGAGCTTTCAAAAACATTTAGCAACAGAAAATACTAGTTAGACATTTATAATACAGTAATTTCCTTTCATAAGTCAAGACCCCTGTCCAAATTATTCTCAAAAGACACACAATGCCATGAGGCATTTAATATAATCAAAGGATTATACTAAAACACAAAACTGGCAAACTATACACAGATGATGTGGCTAGCCAGTCACTTTTCCACTAGTATGTGTCTGTTGTGGATGTTTTTGCACTACAGCAACTTAAGAATTTAATAGCTGGTTCTGTTACAGAAAACATCTGCTGGACAAGAGGTTTAATTCAGGGGAAGAGCACATGAACAGCAAGGTCCAAGTCTTGGAGCACATGAACAGCAAGGTCCAAGTCTTGGGTTTGGTCCCCAGCACCAAAAGCAAAAGTATAGAAATGATACACTGAAACCTATCTTCAAAGAATGCTCATGCCATGATAATTATTATACTGTATTTTGAAAAACTGATTATGTCACAATAATAATACATCTGAAATGCTCAGGACTTAAAACTCTTTGAGTATCTTGTCATCAATGTCTAAGAAAACATCCCAAAACTTAAAAATTCTAAAACTTAAAGCACTTTTGGTCCAATCATTTAAGATAATCTACATTCGATTTTATTTTTATTCTAGAGAATCCTAAAATCTATATAATAACCTTTTGTCTCTCTTTCAAGCCTTTTATATTTGATACTGTCTAAAGAGGAGACCATTTTGCTTCATCAACACAAAGCTAGAAACATGAAAATAAGATTTTTGTGTGGATCATTTAGTAACTTTTATAATTTGCTTCTACTATACTAAATAATTATATTTAATTAAACTTTGTTTTCACTTTTAACTATATGTTTATATCAATACAATTACTTCTAATATATAGTACTAAGGGACCTTTGTACATAAACTAAAAATTAACTCAAATCCTTCAATTTTATTAGTATTTTTCCAATTATATAGGAAATGATTATACAAAGTAATTAGATGAAATAAGTGGGTAAAGGAGAAATTAACTGCACAGATTCAAAAATAGTTTCTTCTAGAAAAATATAATAATAGATAAAATTTGCATAAAAATGATACTGTTATTATTTAACATTCTAATATTTAACATTTCTTACCTGCCCCTTTCAACTGCCAAAGCATCAAGTTCATCAAAAAAGATAATGGAAGGTGCCACTGCTCTTGCTTTACGGAATATCTAATGGAAAGAATATCACAGTAGATAAGATTAACAAATGCTAGAAAATTCCAAAGTTGGTTTCCTTCTGAAAACCATGTAAAATCAAATCTATTATTATGTACAAAACTACCAGCCTGATCACTTCATTTATACCCTATAGCAGGTGCCCAAAACACTGAGTGCTTTAAAAGTAACTTCTTTAGTGGTGAACAGACTACTCATTAATACAGTACAGGGAAGACCAGTTAAGTAATCAGAGAGAGTCAGCTAAATACCAGCTCCACCAAGTGCTGTGTGAGCTTCAGCAGGCAAATTTTCTTCTTCAGATCTCAATTTCCACATCTAGAAAAGGATGGTGGTAATAATTCATACAGACCTCAGAAGATTAGGAAATGAGTAACAAATAGGGCATAAAACATTTGGCCCAATATCTGGAACTTAATAAATAAATAATACTATCATAAAACATAAATAAAATCCATATAAAATGCTCATATTATATCAAAGTCATAATCATTTTCTGTTAAGAATGTACAGGAAAATGGTTGACATAAAACCCAGGCAAGAAAAATGTCATATAGGACCACAGACTGACTTGAACAGAAGCCAGATAAACCATGAAAAGTCAGTGTCTTACACAATGAACAGCCAATGGAACAATGTATGAAAATGAGCTTGGAAGAAGGCAGCATGGGCAGAAAAACATCTAGATATGTGTCTCTTATAACTGAGACCATTATTTTTTGTTCATGCGTCACATGATCATAAAGATACAGGAGCCAGTTCGATATTAGTAGATATTGCTGTTTCTCATGCTGTCATTTCAACTAATACTTTACAAAATTACCATTATCTACATTTTAAAGAAGAAAAGACAAAACGTCATTTTAAATAGTTTCTTGTGACAAATATTTGAAACCCTATTTTTCCTGATTAGCACTAAAGTCTTCACAAGTAAGAGCCAATATCCCATTGCTATTTGTGTGTTCTACGAACAGATGGGGACACTGTGTGAGGCAGGTTGGTGACTCTAGTTGCCCCAACTTTAACAGCTAGAATGAAGAAGCATTACAGTCAGGAGCTGGCATTAAAGGTCAGACTTTCAAAGTCAGCAGACAGAAGGAAGATACACTGTCTAAATCATCAAGCAGAAGTAAGATCAAGTCAGTAAGGTAAAAATTTTAAGTATGATGCTTATTTAAGATAAAAAGGCTATCTAATATAAAAGTTTAAAATTCCATACAAGACTGACTGTCCTCCATAAAGATAGACATTTCCTTTCACAAACATGGGAGGGAGAGTAGTTATTAAAATTAATTTTGGGTAAAAATAAAAGTTAGGATAGTATGGTAGATAGGAACAAACACAAAATATTAAAGAGTACTCAAAGTTGCATTTTAAATCATAAAATAGTATTTGCTTGAAGAAAACTTATGCCACTTCTCAGTACCGAAAACTAAGTAAAAGTACACAAAACGGTGGAGTGTGGTTCTCTTCTTACCTCTCTAACTGCTCTTTCAGATTCACCAACATATTTATTCATTAACTCAGGCCCCTGTAAGGAAAGAAACCAGTGATTTGGTGTCTTCACAGTCACCCATATTTTCCTTGTATTAAGAAGGGGGGAAAAAAAACCCACAAAGAGTAAGAACAAGATCCATGCAATCTATGACAAAAGTTCTTGAATGTTTCCAGTGTCAATGCTGCACTCAACATGACAAGGCCATGCAGGCACTCTTAGCCACTACCCTTGCCAGAGGAGTCTCAGGACCATCCACACTGTTAACCATCCCAGAATCCCATTCTCATAACCACCTTTGTGGTAAAGCTCCATAGTGCCTAGTCACAATCTGCTGCTCCTGTCTGAACTGCCTTTTGGTTATCTGCCTATTTCTTTCCTGTCTCCAGGTACCATATAAGAGGAATCAAATTCTATCAAACTGTACTAATCAGCTTTAACAAGAGAATTCTTAGCCTGCCTGTGCAAGCCAAAATTAACCACATTAAAAATAACACAATATAGACAGGCGGTGGTGGTGCACGCCTTTAATCCCAGCACTCGGGAGGCAGAGGCAAACGGATCTCTGTGAGTTCGAGGCTAGCCTGGACTACAGAGTGAGTTCCAGAAAAGGCACAAAGCTACACAAAGAAATCCTGTCTCGAAAAACCAAAACCAGAAAAACACCACAATATTATAATTATTTATGTATTTTGGGCTCTGTAGATAACAGACTTACATATTATTCTTACTCTTCATTTTTGAAAAAAAATACCTTAAAAATGTGGAATTCGTTGTTAGAAGTCTGGGACAAAACAAGCTGCAAATTAGATTTGGTCTGAAGACTACAGTTGTCTGAATCTGCTATAGGATTTATCTATTACAATTAGAAGAGCTCATTTCTGTCTGAAATACTAAAAACCATCACATTATCAGTGGTCTGACTACTGGAGAGCAAACCTAGATTTCAATATATCAAGAAGATTCATGAGACACTGAGAAAAAAATCAGTAACATACAAAAAATGCAATTTCAAATTATCTAGTACTACTGAGAACATTCCTATCCAATTGTCAAAAATTCTAGGTACATACATACCCTAAGGAGACCATTACATACACACAAAGAAACACATAAAAGAGTATTACTAATATACTAGTTATGGCAACAGAAACAAAACCTGGAAAATCTCAAAATGTAGTAATATAAAATGGGTAAATAAATTGGTAAAGTCCTCACCAAGTGGAGACCAGGGTGTCGAGGTCTGAGTATAAGTTCAGAGGAGAAAGATTCAAAGCAAAGCCATCAAGAAGCTGCCCTAAGACCAAAACAGTGCTGCCTCGTACATGTCCAAGCAGTGAGTGTTCGGAATGTCTGATGGAAAATTTAAGGATGGACTGACATTCCTAATCACCCCACTGATTAGTAAGACCATTTTGCATGGTTTCATCTGGCAAGATTATTTCTATAGTCCCACAAAATGATGAAAAATAAGGACTGTCCTTTCATATGGCAAAAAGTGTTTTTCACTCACATATGCAGACTTTCCTAAACACGACCACAGAAAGCCATTATGGAAGTGAATCAAACAAGCTTTAAGTCCCAACCAATAAAACAAGCATTAATGAACACAATGGGTTTTTGTTGGCAGCAGGATACAGTAAGGAATTTTTATGCAGATTTTATTCAGTTTAGGTCAACTAATTAGGCAACTTGTGTCCTGACAAAGATCAGAAAGGAAACTGTTGGAGTCATCATTTTTATTGGATGTACATGCCAATTCAGTACTACTACTGTTATTCTGGTAACAACTATCCATAAAATTGAAGGATATGACATAAAATACTAATATAATGAAGACATACTACACACCACTTTTTAATCATCTAGCTTAAGTAAGAGCAGTTAGAGAATATAGAGAAAGGTCTTCACTCTGTTATAGGTAAAGGTTCTAAAGAAGACAACTTCAAATCAATACTGGAAAGAACATGATGCTTTTGAGATGTCTCCTCTGTTAAGTAAAATGTCCGTCTCTTAGCATTGCTAACAGAATTATAAACATGACTTAAATTCACTGTATAAACAGACTTGATGACACATAGGAAATGTGAAAGCATGCCAAATAGTTGAACCATTTGAGGATCCATGTAGATTACCAGAAGCCCAGGGAAGAAACAAAGGGAAGGGGAGAGAAGAAGAAGGGGTGGGGAGGGAAGGGAGAGGAGGGAGATGAGGTAAATAACACAGATCTGAAAAGTTAACCTGATTATTTAGCATTATGAGAAAAACTGGACCGGAATAATTCAAGTCAGACTTCACTAACAAGTAAAGGCAATAATGGAAGATGGTTAGGCCAAAGAGTGCATGATTTTGTACTGAACTACAAGCTCATGAACCTCACCCAGATGAGTGGCCAGTACAATGCAACACAGAATGTTAAACTGTCATGTTGCACTGCTCTGGAATTCAATATACCGAGGAAGGTAACTTTGAAGTTGAAATTCAAGCTGTTAAAATTCACTATATTCTAGTATAGTTTCAAAAGTTTATATTCAGTTTTAAAGACAGCTCTTACATTTAAAGAAAATAGTTTGCAATCTGCTACCATACTTTTTGATCAATGAGAGTATGAGTGGTGTATGTGTGTGTGTTTACACTTCTTAAACATGAAATCAGCAACAATGAGCATGAGTTAATTCTGTGAAGTCTTGCTAAATGTCTGATGTGTATTGTCCCGAGTGTGAATTGTATACTGTTTGAATGTGCTCCCAAAGGGTTCTTGTAGAAAGCTTGGTTTCTAATGTGGTAGTGGTGAAAAATGGTGGGACATTAGAGAGATGGAGGCAAGTGGGAGATCCTTAATGAAGCAGTTAGTCTCAGAAGGAATGTTAGTTCTTGTGAGATTTGGAGTTGTTACAAGAGGGAGGTCACTCTCTGGCTACCTGCTTTGTAATGAACTCTTGCACCTACCTGTGCTTTTACCAAGATGTTATCTAATAGGCCCTCCAGAGTTTTAGCCTCCAAATTTGTGTGGTAAATTAGGCTATCAGCCTGCCTCAGGCACTTTGTCATAGTAATTATAATCTTAAAAAATGGAACATAATTCTGCTTTAACCATGTTTTAAATACATATATATGTACATATATATCATAATTTTAACTAAAAATATTAGATACAAAGAAGTGAAATAAATGGCCAAAATCACACAGACTAAATGGCAGTATGGGGTTCACATCTCATAAATGTTACAGCTGACAGAGAATTGCCCCAAACTGCTCACTGAGGCAGTTTTTACTGAAGCAAACGAAAGGCCGCAGCAGCTGAGTTACAGGCTCAAGGTCCTAGCAAGAGCTAAAAGTGACAGGGTGCGGGGCTGGGCTTTCCACACCAGTGCGGTTTCTGTAACTGTGCTGTCTTTGTTTTCTTCACATCCAGAAAGGAGAAAGGTAATGGCCCTTTCATTGCATGAAGTACCAGCACTGCAAATTAAAAGTTCCTGAATAGATCAAGTTGCAAGGTGACTTCTAAATCTTCCTAAATAAATAACTACATGGCCTAATTTGAAAATACTGTGATATATATAAATAAGACACCCATCTGTACCTCACTATCCAGTTAGGATGAAAACAGTACAATCTGTCTCACATTTACTATGTTTTATGATATTTTAAAAATAGACCAATCCCTAGAATGGATACTGTTAAGACCACAGGAAGTTTTTGTTTAACAATTTTACTTATCAAATAACCTCAGCAACTTGGTCCTGACACATTTTACCCACTAGACAGCATGTGTTACCCAGATAAGTGTGATCAAGAAAAACTACACAATTATTAACTTATTTGGACATACGTTATTTCTAGCACCCATGGCCAAGATTTCCACTGCTCAAATTTGCAAAACAGCAACAAAATAATGAAGAATATGTAAAAGTATTTGCCTGTTTTATTAATCTGGGGAACTGAACTTGACTTAACCCTGTTTCATTACTTCACAGTCACAAATTTAAGTTTGAGCTTGTCACCTCTTACTCTTGCAGTTCTGCTCTGTAATCATTTCTTGGATTTCTCCAGTCCTCCCAGGAGCTGCTTAAATGTGTCTGACACCTGCCTGGTATTTCTGGGCTATTACAATTCAAATCAAGTGTTTAAGTTCTAAACTGTCTGGAGCAGGCAAGTTAACCAAATGTTGATTATGGTGAATATGAGGGCTATGCCCACAAAAAGCCAAACATCCAAGTGATAGGTTTACACATAGGCACTGTGAGGAAAGGATCTTGAAAATCACAAGTACAGCATCCATACACAAAGAAGGCCATTCTGGAGAAACACCTCAAAGAGCAGGAAAACAGACATCAAGTATGAGTCAGATATGCTGCAGCCAAGCAGAAGCTCTAAAAAGGAAGAGGGATTGGCAGCAAAGGGAAAGGATTTAAATCACTCTTCTCAAAAATCTATACTTCCCAACCATTCATTTGGGGAAGGGAGATGGGGAAAGACATGTCTCTTCAGAATTTTGACTGTACCACGATAGCTCTAATTAAGCTGGGTATTTGTACCAACTTATTTCTTATCTTCTCTACCTATAGTTTACTGTCATCTATCTCAGATAGACATAAAAATCAAGTGTTCCTTACAGAACAGACATCATATATGACGTAATGGAAAGCAGCCAGAAGAAGAGAGTAACCATTGAAACTCCAATATCCTACCTTTATAGCTAGAAAGTTCAACCCGCTTTCATTGGCCAAAGCCTTTGCTATCATTGTTTTGGAGCATCCAGGAGGACCATACAAGAGAACTCCTTTAGGTGGCTGAATACCCATTCTGATGAAAGACTTAGGATGTTTCAAGGGCCATTCCACAGCCTGTTTCAATTTCAGTTTGATATTTTCCAGTCCTCCAATATCTGACCAGGATACCTACAAAACAAAATGTTTTTTTTTTCTTTATCATTAATTGTAATTTGTCTTTAAAGGACAAATGAAGCCTCTTTTAAGTAAATGTGTTATATTCACTGCATTAGGTTAATATGTGCTTAGTAAGTACAGCATGACCTTTATGGTGCTCATCTCAGGTAAGTTAACACAGGACTCCTGCTCAAAAATAAAAGTAACACCTTATCAGAATATCTGATTTATTTATTGGGAATTCTGCATGAGTACTGTAGTTATATCATTTCTCCCTTCCCTCTCCACTCTCTAACTTTTCCCCCCACGCCCATTATTTCTCAAATTCACTGCCTCTTATTCTTTACTTATCATCACATATACACAAATTTATAAATACAACTTATTGAGTTTATATGTTGTGAGTAATATACATATGTGTTTAGGGCTGACCATCTTAGAACCTACTGATTCTCCTCTTAGCAGCCATTAATTGCCTATAGTTCTTCATCTAGGATGGATCCTTGTGAGATTTCCCCCCATTCATATGAGCATGTCAATTGGTACTATTACTGCACAGAGTACCAGCAAGTTTGCATAAATTCCACTGTAGACCCAGAGCCATATATGATAGAAACTTGGTAGGCTGGCTATGTTGGCATGTAATGTCCTATAAGCAATCCATAACAAATTCATTTTATTCATGAGGCTGGACTTGTATGAGTAATCCTCTGGGCTGCCAGCATACTCCTAGTTCAAAAGCAAGCACTTCTTTTATGTCTCCTTATGTGGTGGTTTGAATACCAATGGCCCCCATAGGCTCATATAGTGAAAATTCAGTCACTAGGAAATGGCACTATTTGAGAAGGATTAGGAGGTGTGGCTTTGTTTGAGTAAGTGTGACCTTGTTGGAGGAAGTATTTCACTAGGGGTGGGTTTTGAGGTTTCAAATGCCCATGCCATGTCCATTCTCTCTGGGCCTTCTACCTAGAGTTCAGCTCTCAGATATGCTCCAGTGCCTACCTGAGTGCAGTCATACTCCCCACCACGGCAAAGACTAACCTTCTCAACTGTAAATAAGTCCACAATTAAATGTTTTCTTTGATAAGAGTTGCCTTGGTCTTGGCATCTCTTTACAGAAACAGAACAGTGACTAAGACACCCCGGAAAACTCATTAAACAATATTCAATGGACTTATTTTTGCTTCCCCCACCCCCATTTGCTGATTTCTGATTTTATCAATTACTAAAACTAAAATTGCCTTGATATTAATGCACATGAGCCTAGAACCTTGAACCACTGACAAATGATGCAGAATCATACTTACTGTTTACCAGAAAAGCCAACAATAATTGTATAAAACAGTATGCATTTGGCAGAAATACAACAGGGCTATTACACCCTGCTGAGCAGTTCCTTCCTGTACATCCTAATTTCTTTGATTTGCTCTTTTTAATTTTATTCTAAAAACATTCAAACATATACAAAAGATGATCAAGTACACACAAGAGCTATATACTCTGAATGATTCACCAGCTTTAGTATTTCCCACATCTGATTTATTGAACACCGTCTTTCTCTATACACATAACAGTACACAAACTGGCATAATCAGTTTCTGAATTTTCTGCTGATTTTTTCTTTTAACAGTAAGCTGGAGAGATGTCACTTTTTTTTCTAGATACATTAACAACATATCTCTCATAAAAAATATTCTGGGAAGAATTTTAAATGGTAGTAAGGAACTAGGGATCACAAATTACACAGGATTCAGGAGAATGGACAGTTAATTTGGTAGCAAGGCACCGAAAGGTGGTCTCATCAGAGTGCTTTTCAGTGGAATGCTTTACTAGTGGAATACATATGTATGTGCATACCTATCCTCACACATACACACTTGAGAGGTTATCCTATGGAGTGTGAAGAGTAAACTAGCCACACTGCAGCACAGCATAGATGTGGAAGTCAGAGAAGCAACTTCTTCAACTTGCAAGAACAAAAATGATAATGCATTCTGAACCCTGCAAGTCATTCACTTTTGACTCTGTAGTTACATGTACACAGCAAGAACATACTACATAAACATATTCCAGGAGCCAAATTCCCATGCCCTGGAGCACAGGAGTTATACATTAAGTTTACTAGCAGTGCAGCAGAACAAGAGCTTATGCCAATTTAAGAAGTAGATAAACAGATGAAAGATTTTAAAGGTTAATACAGAACAGTCTGCTTTGTAATGGATATGCTTAAAAAATTCAGTTCTATACTCATAAATAGATAGGGAGAGTGTGTTTACTCCTGTCTATAAACCTAACTGACTCACAACCTGATCGTCTCCAGTAAAATTTAGTATTCAATATATCCTCAGGATGTATGGTTTCCAGTAAGTCTTTAACAATTTGTTACTCCAATCTATAGTTTCCTAGCAATCCTTAGTAACTCCCCTTTTATGGCCAAATACAAATTGCGGCATGTCTTGGAACTAGGAGGAATATGCAGATGAGTCTGGACTGCTTTTGGATATATGCTATACAGAAAGGCAAACTGTATCCTTTAAGTTAACTTTTAAAGAAAATTTCATCTATCACCTGATGCCTATGCATAATTGGGCATACATATAATTAAGTCAGATTATCATGGGAAATGATACAGTGAATAGAGGTTTATTCTATAACCCAAACCTATCAATGAAAACATAAAATTACCCTTATTCTACCCCTAATTATTATTACACCTATGATACCTTTATATTCTTCCTAATTGTATTATGACTAAAACTTACAAGTGAGATAAATTCAATTTTAAAGAATTATCTTTTACATGTCCCAAGGGTCACAAGGGCACAATATCTTTAGAAATCTACACTCTGCAAAGCAAAAGCTGAATGTACCCTTAAAGATACAGTCTTAGTTTAAATAAATATCTGTTTTAACTCTAGTACTAACCAGCTTAAAATCTTTCTGTAATTGTGAACTATGAGTAAGTATATAGTTGAAAACTACCTGTATAAGACTTTTATATAAAGAGATCAGAATGTTAAAAGTAACAGTAATATCCACTTTCTTGTCTGACCACAAGGACAGTTGACAGAAGAATAAGCTTTAAGAAATTATGAAACAATCTAAGAATAATCTGTATACTTTTTGTCTTAAAAGTAGTCATTGCCAGTGCTGGGGTATAGTACACATTCACAATTTTGCCTTTTGTTTCTTTTTAGTTTCATGCCTTTTAAATACAATATTCTTCAAATTCAGAATGGTAAAACATGAGCTTAAACCTCAGATACACTACTCAATGTGACTTTGGATCATTTACTCCATCTCTTTAAATTTCTTCCTAATTTAGAAGATAAAAATAACACCTCAGATTCATTATGAGATTTAAGGGCAGTATATATTAAATTAATTACATATGCTGAATATTTACTAAGTGAGCCTATATTTAGATGTCTAAGAGACAATCACCATTATGTTTTGAAGGAGAATGGCAAAAGATTAAGAAGTCACTGCATTTGTAATTTCATGAGTAATATTTAACTGTTATAATTATTCTCCATCGTTGAGGCTTTTTTGTGTGTTCTTTGTTCGTTATTATCATTCAATCCTTAAACTAAAGGCAAACCAGTTTCATCTTTTGATTTTAGCACTTGAAAACCAAAACATTGATTAGCCTTTCTATGTGCTAAGAAAATAATTTAAAAATAAAAACAATCTTAACATAAGATTTCACAGTTTACTCTTGCAGGGGCAAAAGTCCTAAGGCACAGAAGGAAGATGTGGGAAAAGTTGATTGTGCTACAAGGATTAACGCCACCATGAAATCATAAAGTACTGGAACCAACTGGCTGATTACCACCTTAACTTCAGATAGTATTAGCTTTCAATATTTCATCTTTCAATAAATACTATGTTAAACTTTCTAGGATTGTCTTAGTAAGTTAGTCTACCTTACCTAAGAGAAAGCTCTTATAAATCTAACCGGATGCTCTATGGCTGGGCCCTTTCTTCTTTTGTTCCTATCCTGGTCAATGTGGCTTTAAAATGTCTTTTGAATGCTAACACAATTAGAAATAAAGAAAGAGCTGTTGTAATACAAGCAGATAAGGGAGAGAAAATTTCACAAGGAAAATGCAACATTTTTCTTCTTAGATGAGCACCCCAACAGAGCATTTTAGTTATATATTCACACAAACCCAAGAACTCAATGATCAGATTAAAAATATAAAGTAAATACATAAAAAAAAAATTTAAAGGTCAAGTTCCAAAAGTGAAATGAAAACTAACAAAGGGGCTTCAGAACCTTGGGGGTTACTGAGAGGACCGTGTCAGCTCCAGCATGACTGCTGATCTTTAATTAGGAGCCAAATTTTATAATGTCAGGCACAAAAATGTTCTTAAAGGTGGTATTTGACAGAAAACATTGTGACAAAAAGTACTTCACATTTTGTTACTTTCCACTAAGAAATACTAATATAAATGTAAAAGACAGGCAGTACCTGTTTCAAAGCTTTTAGAGGGCCAACATTAACTTTGAAACATTAAAATACACATATTTTCAAAAAAGAAAACCTAACTTCTAAATCCCAGGGGGAAAAACAAACAAGTGAATCTCCAGATGCTTCTTTAGTAGAGATAAAGCAAGAGAATGGAGGTGAGAAAGTGTGCTCTCAGACATCAATGGAAAAGGGAAAAAAAGAAAAGCATCACAAACCCACATGCAGAACTTTCTATGCCATAAAGATGGTCTATGAAGCTTCCTTAAAAAGAGCCTGAGTTTTAGCCTTCACTGTGATGCCAGGAGCCTTCTGTAGATCTCTCTCCTGTTCTTAAAACATACACACATACCACACTCTCTCAGCAACAGTCACTAAGAGTATGCAGAGTATTGTAAATACACATACAGGTGTAATGTATGCCACCTGTACTTCAACACTTGTACAAATACAAGGGATAACAGGAACTGAAAGTTAAGTTTTCCACTATAATCTGGAGGGAAAGCTATTTAACTGTAGCACAGTAATCAGGATTGCAAG